GGGGCAGCTGTTCAGGTCATCGTTGACACCTAATGAAAGATGAGCTTGGGCAATGCCAGCAGAAGACCTGCACTGCTGCGAAACCCGCGCATTGGGAAGCAACCTGCACTGAGCCTATTGCTTTTCTTTTGGAGATCTATGTCACCTGTATTCAGTGTAATGGACGGAGAAGCAGCAATGCACCTGAGAGCAGGATGTGGCCCAGGCTGCTGCCAACCTTAGGGAATTCCCTCTGAATCCCTGGCCAGCAAAAAAGTTGCTGAACTGTTAAATTTTGCCCCAGGTAATTTTTAACACAGGCAGTTCACTGCTTAGTGCTCGCCCTCTCAAAAGAAGTAGGAGGGGTGACCTCCCAGCACACAATGAAATCTCCTGTGGGATGGTGTGGGAAGGTGACTGCAACCCCAGGTGAGGTCCTGACTTATCAGGATGCAACTCAGGTAAACAGGGATGCTGATTTAGGGCTGGGCACGATTTAACTCAGAGGTCCGCAGGGGAGCCCCATGAGGGGACTGGGGCAGTGGTCGTGATCTGCAGCCCATCAGCAGTCATCTGGGGAGACCAGTGGGGAGCAGAAAACCACTTTGGTTGTGGTCAAAACAGAGTTTCTGGGACAGTGAGATGTGACCATCAGTCATGGAGCAGGCCAGTGACAGAGGTGGCTCTTCCCAGTCCTTCGTACTCCATCTCTAAACCAGTCCCAGTATGGATTTCGGAGGAGTTCCACAGGGCTTCTGCAGTGGCAGATGAGGCCTTTAGGCTTGCTGAGATTTCAGGAGGAGATTTTCTGGGGAACAGGAGTGTGCTCTCTCCCTCCCTTAACCTCTCCTCTTATTGCCATCTGATGTGGTTACAGAGATGGGGCCACTCAGCTCCCTGCTGTCTTCCAGCCCCGCCAGCGTGCAAGCAACCCAGAAGTGGGCAACACTTTGGAACCCTCAGAAACCTCCCAAAAGAGTATAGGGAGATAGCTGAGGGTATTCAGCCTCAAAATGTCAATTCATCAGCACCAGAAGTGTTGTCAGTGCTACTGATAATTATTATGAGAAATGATTGCCTGTCGTTCCGGAAACAGTTGAGAGATCCAGTGAAATTCTTCTTTGTTTTGTCTGAAAGTTATTGCAATGATTTGCAAATGGTTTTACATTTTACAGTGTCGACACGTTCTACGCGCTTAGGAGGAGTAATCTCAGATAAAGGTTTAAACTTCTTTTTTTCTTCCTTTCCTTCTTAAAGGATCTGAACACAGCTGTGAAATGTGAATAGATTTTAACTATTAAGCCCAAACTGCCAAGATGTTATTTCCTGTAGCTTTGACTCATGCAACTGAAGAAATAAATTGGATCAGAATATTGTTTCATACAGGGGATTTTTGTCTCCCTCTGCCACCCCCAGGCTCGGCTCTATTTAAAGCCAAAATACCAAGGCATAACTCTCATGGGCGCTTATTTTTCCTGCTGGCAAGGCGCCTCATGGAAGGAACTGCTTGCTCGCAGCAGGGTGGGTCTGAGCCCACAGGAGCCTGGTCTGGGCACCCAGTGGTCACCCACTCACCAGGAGGAGTCTGATGTCATCTGGTGCGGGCTGGTGCCACTCGTGTCCCTCGGGATGGCACGGGTGAGGAGGACAGGGCTTTCTCCATAGAATTTATCATCCTGGGCTGAGCGCCTGACTTTCGGTGAGACCCGGCACCAAATCCGTGACTGCACAGCTGGGAGGTCTAGCAAAAGGGTTTGGACTAAAAATCAGGACATGCAGTTGCAGTAGCTATTAATTTGCATGTATATGTTTGATCATATTCATGTCTGCATTAATTCTGTACTTTATTCGGCCACAACAGCACCTGCTGGCACAGAATGCGCCGGGTAAATAACTGCTCTTCATACAAGGGACAGCGGGTCATAAGATCAGTGTCCTCTTCTTGCTTCCTCTGTCTCAGCATCTCCTTTTACAGCATTTATGCCATAACGAGGTGCAGACAATTCAAAGAAGCCTCCAGATACATCTCATCTACTGCAGTGTCATTACCGGCAGCGGGAGGCTGTGTGCACAGCTAAACTCCCTCCCGTTGCAGAGGTCCTGCACAACATCTATGCATCATTAATGTTGCCTGTCACGGAGGGGTGTAATTGCTGCCTAGGCCTGTTAGTGGCTTTCTGCCCAAGGGTTCATTTCATTCTTGATATATTATAAATTATTACAATATAGGTCTTCTTAAAAAAAAATAAAACAACAAAAGGTAAGTATGCTGAAGAAGCTTTTGCTAACATGCTGGCCTGCTCTCACAGATTTAAAACTGTAGAAAGCACTAACAGCCATCTTACATGATTACAAGATTGCTGTCACAGAAGTCACCTTGAGTAACAGTACCTCATTCAGATGTGCTAAGGGCAAAAACAGAGGGAGACTGTTGTCTTATATTTTCTAGAGACATTTAAATTAGGCATTGTAGTGAGATTGTCAGTCATGTTACCTGGCTGCTGAGGCTTTGGCAATGCAGTGCTGATTGATAGGATTGCTCTTAATAACTGATTTACAGCTGACATTGGAAAGGGGAAAAGGACCCTTCAGCTTCTTGTGTAAGACTGTCAATGCAGAGTGTCAAAGTTAGGAAGCTTTGGACGTTCAGGTGCTTCTTGGTGTTACCATCTCCTGGCCTATTCCTGACCTGCAGGGATGCCAGTGGAAGTCCTCCTAACCAGACAATGAAACATTGGTTGCATAGCAGTTTAGTTTGGAGGAGAAAGTAGTGAACCACCTGGGGGAGAACTGCCAGTCTGTAGGAGGGAGGATGAAGGGAGATGCTTTTCCTTTCCACCGCTGGGCAGGCAGTTGCTATAAACTCCCTCTGTATCCGCTCCTTGGGCAAATGCCCGGTGGGACGTTGCATTAAATTAGTGTGGGATACATTTCTGTCAGATGTTTGATTGCTTAGTTTTCCATGGTGTATATCATTATGAGAGCTCCAGAAGAAAGGTAAGACTCCTCAACAGGGGTGGACATGAGGAGCTTTCTGCAGTGGTTTCAGGTACAGAAGTTTTGTTTCCAAATTCAATCCCTAAGCTGAAAGTAGAGGAAAGAGGACCAAGAGAAGCCATAATAACAATCTTCAAAGCCAGAAGCAGTTGCTGCCGAGTGGGAGTGAGACACTCCTCATGCCTGTGGGGGCTGGGGGGAGATGCCATGGGCTTTAAATAGCAGCATGGGAGTCCTGGCTGAGGTATCCATGTGAGTGGCCAACAGCTGCAACAGATTGTGTGTGAGGACTGAGGAGGCTTTGCAAGGCAAGCGTTTATGGGGGGTGGACTCAGCCGAGTTGGCCTGGCTTGGAAACAGGAGGTGAAGAGATCCCTCCAGGCTGGTCCAGCTACCCCGAGGTAGTTTCCTTGCTGAGGAGGGGAACCAGTAAAGGGAGATAGAGAGAATCGCACCTTTATCCAATGATTTATCTGGCATGTCCCTGATTTTTATGCTTTTCTAGAAAAAACTACAAATAAGGAAGAAAGAAGTGCCAAGGACAGAAGAACAAGATGTTGGTCCTGTCTAACAACACAGCCCTGAATTCACTCCTCTCCAAGCTGCTTCAAGACTACCTGGAGCAGATGAATAGCTCTGCACCTTCCCAGGTCCAAAGTGCCAGCAGCAACCTGGAAATCGTCTACGTGCTGCTGCTGGTCGGCCTCTTTGGCTTCTTCACAGTGGGAGTCATGCTGACCAACATCCTCAGCAGGAGGCTGGAGGACTCCCAAGACCCCTACAACACCTACATTGCCACAGACATTTGGCACAAGAAGGACAGGGAGTATTTTCAAGCCAAGCTCATAGAAAATTACAAGCTGTGCTGTGTCTTTGAAAACAGGCTGGCCGTGGAGCAGCCAAGCACGCAGATTCCTGAGGCGAAGTCTTCCTAGCAAAATGGGAGAAAGGATTGCACTTTGCACAGGGGCAACCTGAATGATACCCGGTATGAACCAGGCTAGCTGCTTGCCCGTCTGCAGAGCCGCAGGCGATGGCCTCAATCACGCTGAATAACCATGAACTGATGGTAAAGCTGATGGCTCTGGTGATGCAAAAGTGCCTGGCCGCTAGTACCTTGTTGGAATCACTCTCAGGTCAAGAAGGAGGGGACACAGCAGGAGTATCATGGACTCATCAGCTTCACCTAGTGAAATAAGCAAATGTTGGTGTTCATTGCCAGTGTGAACGCTTGCAGTAGTCCATGTAATTAAAACCAAATTGGATCAAACATACGCTAGAGGCATTAACAGCCAAGTATAGTTTGGGCAATAATTTTCAAGTAAGACCAGTTTCTTCCAAGAAAAAGTAGCTGAAATATTTCATTTGCATTTTTGTCCAGCATAGAATAATAATTTTATAAAGTGTACAATGTTGTGGATGACCTATTTCTTCCAGAATCATGCACCTCTTTGAGATAAAGTTTTAGAAAAAGATTACAGGTTTTTTGCTGAAAACCATTTCTGTGGAAAAATGCAGGCTTTGGAGAGAAATTTTTCTATGACTGTCCCAAATTCCTAGCAGGTAACCGAGACCTGTCTTGCCCCCTACTTTTGGTTTTCTTTCTCACGGATAGGGGTTCATTCTGGCAGCAAAACCCACCCTTGTACAAAGATTCAGCAGCCCACAGGGTCTATACCATGCAAGTGTGTAACATTTCAAGAGTTTCAATCACATTTGATTATTGCGCAAGACCCTTGGTTGGAAAGTGAATTTCCATTCTGTGAAGAGCAGTTCCACAAACTGTCTGATATTTAATCACCATCATAGCTTATGTCTGTGCTTAGCGTGAATCCTGTGAGCACTTGCTCCAGCTCCCAGGAGCAGTCTCCCTCGGTACAGCTGTTCATCTATCGTGGTACCCAACGTGAGGTCCGTGCCAGCAAGGTTTTCCTCCTCACTCCCTCCTTCGGCGGGGCAATGCCTGCCAAGCCGTGGGGGGAATGGCGGCAGCGGGGGGGGGGAAGGGCGGCAGCCGAACTCGTCTTCTGCGGCAGCAGCTATCAGCTGTCTCTGTCAAAAGGGAGAAATATGGCTCCCCTGGACATTGCGTTACTCAGAATAGCAACCTCGCCAGCTTGAAGCCTGTTTTCTTGTTTGGGATCAAAGAAGAAATGGTCTGGGTGGGAGCGGGGGTTTATTTCTGCTCTACAGATACACATCCCATTTTTAGTTTCTGGAGAGGAAAGAGGAGTGGGAAAGGCTTGAAAGTCATGCAGAGCAGCCGCTTCAAAGGAAAGGCGAGGGCAGAGCAGGGGCAGATAGATACCCACATATTTGGACGGACAAGCGATACAAGTCACAGAACATCCCCTTTCCATACATAAGTACTTTTTTAGCACTGCTCTTTCATTAAATATTCTAGCCATGTTTGTGCTCCCGGAATACTTAGAACAATTAAAAATGCAGGGTATTTTTTTTAAAATATATTTATATGGTGCCCACCATTAAGCTGAGGAGAAGATACATGTTTACAATGTCTTGAACAGCTTGGAAAATCTCCATCAGCTTAATTATCTGAGTCACTTTTTCCTCTAGAGGAATGTAAACCAAAGCCAGGCTTTGGAAAAATGTTGACTTCTCAGCTTGGGCACTGCTCTTTTGGGATCTCATTGTGTAGTCAGTTTATTACTTGCGTTTCCCTCCAGCTGTGAGAGTGCAAATGCTCTTGCTTGCCGGTTCTCCAGAGGCAGACCTGTGCAGCATTGCTGACAACGTTTAAACTTGCATCAAAAATGGCTTTTAATTACATTAAAACCTTTGAACATGAAGCTTGTCAAAAAGGCTCCCTCCTGCAGCTCCCCCTCCACCCCAAGTGTTTTCAGGTATTTTGGATCTAGGCACTTGCTGGTCACCTTATTTTAATAGCCTCAGTGTAGTTATTTGTGACAAGGGTGATTGTCAGCATTAGTTGGCTTCCACTTTTTTTTTTTTTTTGAGCTCTGCTGTTTTATTTATTTAAAAAAGAGAGGAACCACTGTGTCTTAGTCATAACACTTTCCTGTGCCACCAGGCTACAAATCATTCTTCAGTGGCGGTTGTGGACTCCCACTGTGGCCTTTCACATAACTTTTTAGTCCTGTAGTTCTCCTTTTTCCCCTATTTTTTCACTTGTACAAAGCAATAAAATATGAATTACAAACTGTGCTGTTGGCTTCAGATGTTTTTTTCTCTTAAACTCTTTCACAAGCTTGCAGAAAGAGTGCTGATACTCCCCAACAGGCACCCACTCACCCGTCCCCTTTCTACACTCTATTAACCAGGGCCAGGCCTGGGTGCTGGGATATCTCTTGGTATACCTACATCTGGAGAAATATCAAAATGTCAGGAACAAATTCCTCACCTCAAGTAAACTCCCAGGGTTTGCAATACCCCAGGCAAGCTTGGCTCCAGCGTTTGTTGCAGCGATCCCAGCTGCAGCCTTCGAGCACACGTTGCACACAGCTTGCCACCGCAGCCCCAGCAGCACCTGTCCCATGGGGGCTCGGGTTTTGTTGCACACACACACACACACACACACACACACCCCCCCCCGAAACAACACTGAGCCTGGCAAAAGGGGAGAAATAGCTGTGGGGTAGCAGTCCCCCCAGCAAAGGAAGAAGATCTTGTACCCAGCTGGCGCCAGTGACTCTGCACAAGGCATCGGTTGGGTAGCTAGCCTTCATGGACTGCTCTGTTGATGAGATTTTTTTAAGGCTGGAAAGGATCATTCTGATCACAAGAGATGTAGGAGTACATGTCATGAGATCTTAAGGTCAGCCAGGTCTCTTTGCATGCACTCCTTGAAAAAGGCTCTGAAATCCATTTCTATATAGCTCTGGATTATGTAATAACAGTTTGGGAGATGTAAAGTGTGAGTCAAGCTGCAGCCTGCCTTGCTGAGCATCCTCCAGGGCTTGTAAACACGTCTCCCATTTCCTCTGTCATTAGCACTGATTCATGAAGGATGGCTGACAAGGGACCCATCTCTGACTTCATGTAATAGGAGAAAGAGCATTCACTGGCCAAGGAGTGCCTAGAAATGTGTGATTAGTTCACTTGCTCGTCATCTTTGCCATACACCAAAGGCCAGCAACAAACCTCTCCTATAATTACCATCACACAGAGCTCACGTTTTCCGATTTCCTGCTTGTTGGGGAGATTGAAGAATCTTAGACTGATTAGGCAAGTGTTGGACTTTCTTTGGCCCAAACTTTAAAAGTCTTTTGCTCAGGAAACATAAAATAGCCAGGGAGACTCTCAGAGATTTATTTTTCTCTGTTCCCCAATAGCTGAAGTGCCTGGCTTCATCAGCTGTGGCTTATTCTAGTCTGTAGCCTTGCTGCCAGTTGGCCTAATGCGCATACCTCCAGGCACAGGTATTGCTCTCTGGCTACTTATGTTTTTTTAGAATAGAAATCACATTATATATAGAAATGCCAGCATTATATAGAAATGACATTTTGAATTTAAGCCCTACATTGTTAACAGCCATATAGTAGTAATGCACAAAGGTCTCAAGCAAAATCAAAGCCCAATATAGCAGGTTTTCTCCTGTATATATTTTGAGAGGTTCTGTTTTGTACAGTTGCAGACTAACCTGGAAGTTGTGTGGTGCAAAGCCACACAGATAAAATATTTATAAGTAAATCAGCAAGTTTGCTGACAGTACAAAACTGGAAGGAGTGGCCAACACACCAGAAGGCTGTGCT